TCTCCACTGCTGGTGGGAATGTAGACTGGTGCAACCGTTATGGAAACCTAGTGGGTGTTAGATAGTAAAACTCTCATTGAGGATAAGTGCTGACACAGAGTAGAAAGTTAAGTAAACCTCTGTGGCATCTAATTTCTGAACGGAAGGTCACTTTCACAATATGATAAACGCTGGAGATGAGTTTCTATATTTTTGCTTTGAGTTCTCAAATGAAGATTATCAAGTAACCTATTTGGAAATAAAAAAAAAGAAATACATACTTCCCATTGGGAATCAGTGAGATTTTGCCCTGTTATGTTTGTGTGTGCTCATTGATGTGTCTGCATATACAGGTGCATGTGTTCTATTTTTATATGTAGCTGATAAGATAAGGGAAGGGAATTAACTTAATTTAGCCCTTCAGTGTCTTATGATCTTCCCACTGATGAATCTTGTTTTCTCTTAAAATCCCCCAACATTACCTAGAATGTATTACTGCATATTGAAAAGAATAGAACTGGCAGAGTTGTATCTACATTCTGCTTTATGATATTAATCTATTAATCAGTTAATTAATCAACAAGTTCTTTCATTAATTGCTCTGCATAATTCCATGAATTTATCATATAACTAGTATATATTAAGCATTATACTAGTGAAGTTGGACATTCCTAGCAGGCAACGGTGACTCAAAGCTGACTACACTTCCTATTGCCGCAGTGCTCATCTGCAAAAGTGAAGAGCAACCCTTACCTCTTGCAGTCCCAATGGGGTTTAATGAGTAAATGCAGGCACACATTTTGGAATACACAAGGCTATAATTGTTAATTATCTCTTTCATGTTCTGCAGTCTTTCTAAGATGAAAATAAAAATATATCCAAAAAGTAGAGCAGTGTTAAAGAATACAAATGTGTCCACTGTGTAGAGCTCCCTTCCTTTTTGCTTTCTCTCTGATTCATGTGCATTTGAAATAACAGCAATAAAAGGCAGGGAAACAAAAGCAGTGTCTCTAGTGGCAGCGGAGTAAGGAGGACAGCACGGTTGCTGTCCTTTTCAACAGGCACGTCTAGGGTCACGCCTAGGAACGTCATTTTAGTGAACACGTCAGTCTCCTGGAAGTCCCGAAGGTCATGCCTTGCCATACTCAACAGAGATGTTACGAATTTTAGCAAGTTAAAAATAGTAACTTCTAAAAAATCTGATCATATTTTATTCATTTCCTCTGTGGTCCATAGTCACCGATTTTCTGTCATGGACATAATAAACCCTAAGTAAATGAAATTATACTTAAAATACAAGGCGAGTATCTTCATTTAAAATATTTAATTCTCTTTTTATATTTTAAACCAGATACTCTCCAAGCTATGCAGAAATATAAAAAGCATAAATAATTCTAAAGATTAAAGCTAAAGTTCTAAAATTAAAGTCAATACATAATATA